GAAATAATACCTGCAATCACGGCATCTGAGGCCAATGCATCTGGTCTGGCCGAAAAAGCATAGAATCTGGCTGGAGCACCGGCTGGCTGGCCTCTGCCTAACTGAACAGTAGCTGGTTGACCTCCCCCTGCCTGGCCTCCACCTCTAGGACGGCCCCTACTAGTCCGCCCTCCGCCTCTGGGCGACCGGACAGCCGGTGCTATAATCATGGGCCGCTGACCCTGCTGTACTGCTATGCCCCGAAGACTGGGGCAGTATCTCCTCATATGACCGAGATCTCCGCATTCGAAACAGCCCCTCGGTGCGGTGACCTGCTGCCCTGATGTCTGACCCTGATAGCTTGTAGACCCACTGGAGGAAGCCTGAATAGCCGGTGGGCGATATGAACTCCCCGGCATGGCACTAAAATAGGAGCTAGAAGAACCTTGGTGACCTGAGTACCCACTGGAAGAACCCTGGATGGCTGGTGGGCGGTAAGAGCTCTCTGGTATGGCGCTGAAATAGGGGCGCGCTGGAGCACCTTGAGGAGGTGGTGGTCCTGAATATGGGGGTCTGCTAGGCTGACCCCTCCCAAACTAACCTCTGCCCCTAAACGGGGCACCTCTAAACTCTCCAGAGAAAAGGGTCCTCTTGTCCTGCTGCATCTGCTCTATACCCCTCTAACAGTAGCCCTCAATCCTCCGAGCAATCTCCACTACCAGCTGATAAGAAGTCCCTATCTCAACCTCTCGGGCCATATTGGCCTTAATACCAGAGTGCAGCCCCGCAACAAACCTCCGCACTCTCTCTGCGTCCGTAGGAAGTATCGTAAGTGCATGGCAAGACAACTCAAAAAACCTTGCCTCATAGTCTGTCACTGACATCTGACCCTGCTCAAGCTGCTCAAACTGATACCGCAACTCTTCCCTCTCAAAGGGTGGAATATACATATCCAAGAAAAGCTGTGTGAACTGGCCCAAGACATGGGAGGAGAACCCGCTGGTCTCCCAAGAAGATAAGACTGCCACCACCTACGGGCTCTACCCTCCAGCTGGAAAGTAGTGAAGTCAACCCCGTGAGAATCCTATATCCTCATGTTGTGCAGTCTGTCCCTGCACCTATCGATGAAATCCTGGGCATCCTCATGACGCTCGCCTCCGAAGACAGGAGGGTGTAGCCTAGTCCATCTATCCAATAACTTATGCGAATCGCCGTTCGCAGTTGGTCTAGGCTCAGGTGCCACTGCTGTAACTAGCTGGGCCCCATCCACGGATAGTGCACCCGGAGTCTGATACACTGCACTTGTATGCCCAAGAGCCTGGGCAGTAGGGGTATGTGCTCCCCCTCCTGCCTGAGATGTGGCTAGGTCTGCTGGAAATAAACCAGCCTGGGTCATAGAGTCCATGAACCGCAACATTTGGCCCATGACCTCCTGAAAGCCCGATGCTATCATGAAATCCGCCGGGGCAGGTGCTGCTGCGGGCACCTCGCCCTGCTCCTCAATAATGGGATCCTCTACTGGATCCGCCAGTGGTGCATCTGGGACCACTCTGGGACGTCCTCATCCCCTATCTCGGGCCGGTGCCCTCCCCCTACCTCTGTCTCGGCCTCTAGCAACGGGGGGAGCAGCTCCTCCCTGGTCCAGAACGTTTGTTGTGCGCGTTCTCACCATCTGTGAGAGAATAAGAGAGAGAATTTGGTATACCATCAACTGCACGATAGAAGATGAATAAAGAGTAGTTTCCTAACACCCCATAGCCTCTCGAAGATAAGTACAGACGTCTCCGTATCGATCCGCAAGACTCTATTAGGTCTACCCATGACTTGTGAGACCTACGTGAACCTAGTGCTCTGATACCATGTTGTCACGACCCAATTTTCATTATAGGTCGTGATGGCGCCCAACACCACTGTTAGGCAAGCCAACACTGATCAACTAGTGAATTTCCATTTTTATTAAATAATTCCAAAATCTAACTTTACTTAAATTCAAAGCATTTGATAAACAACGGATTTTTAAGGTAAGCAAAACGGAAACCACTAGAAAAAATCGTGACCATAGAAATACAACCCAAAAATCAAGTCTACTAATATGTGCCAAGATCTAGTGTCACAAGTGTGTGGGTAATTAGCAGAATATACAAAAGATGACTATCCTATTGTCTGAAATAGAATAGGCAGGCATAAACAAAAGAGAAACTCTGACATGCTGCTGAACGGCTCAAAAGGGGGCAGCTCACCGTGAAGTCTCAGTCCAAGATCAAGTATGCACGCCGGGCGGGTAACTAGATGCACTTGCCTCAGATCCTGTACAACAAAGTACAGAAGCGTTGTATGAGTACATAAACAATATATACCCAGTAAGTATCCAGTCTAACCTCGAAGAAGTAATGACGAGGGATCGACTATACACTTACTAGGGTCATTAATAATATAATTAAAGTGTTATGCTGAGCATGGATATCATGAATAATAATGATTGTTTAATAAGAGGAAGTGATGAGTTCTTCTTTCATAAATATGTTTTCCAATTTAAGTCATATCATTTAAACACTTACATTTCAAGGCATTTAAGCAGTATGAATCAGAGAGAATTCCAAATAATTAACATGCGCAATTATGCCGAGGTCGTACGGTCCGGTCCAACATAATATTAAAATGTGCACTGCCAGAGGGTTGAACGGCGCGAATCATAGATGCATCTATTTACTACCGACGTGCTCGGCCCGATCCACAAATAATAATTTATTTTCAAGAAAGCACACATTGCCCATTTACAGTCAAGTATTTTATACAAATCCTTAAGTAAGTGAGTATAACCTTCTATAATTATTTTACCAATTTCTAGCATGACTTAAGTGATCATAATAGCAAGTAAGGACGCAAGCATTTCAAATATAGTATGATACGGGTCCTAAACTACCCGGACAATAACATAATAGTAGCTACGTACGGACTCTCGTCACCACGTACGTACATAGCCCCCACAGATGGGTACATGCATTTATTTAATTCACCTATGAGGTTAATTCCCTCTTACAAGGTTAGAAAGGAGACTTACCTCGTCTCAAAGCCTACTTCCCAATTCAAAGACGCGCTCAAACCTCCAAATTTGATGCCAAACGACTCGAAACTAGTCAAACATTACATAAACTAATCAATCTATGCTCAAAAGTTCATAATTCCATCATTTAAGTGATTACCCAACCTAAATTGCAAGATTCCTAAAATTCACCCCGGGCCCACATGCTCGAATTCCAAAATTTTTTAAAGGAAGTTGTTACCCATAACCTTAGGAACACAAATATATGATTTCTACTAAATTCCATAACAAATTTCGTGGTTAAATCTCATTTTTGTCAAAACCCTAGGTTTTCAGCTAAACCCTTGATTTTTCCTAATTTTTACATGTTAATCTACCCATAATCTATGTATTGAACTCACAACAGGTAGAAATTTCTTACCTCCAAAAGCTAGGTGGAAATCTCTCTCAAAAAGCTCCAATAGTCGCCCAAAGAGTGAGAGAAAATGAGTGAAAATGGATTAAGTCCCGTATTAATTGAACCTCACTGCCCCAGCGATTTTCGCACCTACGGTGCATAGGCCGCACCTGCAGATCCGCTTCTGCGGACCGGTGTCCACTTCTACGGTAATGGCTGGGCCGGCTAGGATCGCTTTTGTGGACGGGCTCCCGCTCCTGTGGTCCCGCTTCTGCGGAAAAGGAGCCGCATCTGCGGAACCTGCGCTCCTCTCCTTGGGCTGCATCTGTGAGGAGTTGTCCGCTTCTGCGGTCTCGCACCTGCGGCTGACCAACCGCAGGTGCGGTTATGACAGCAGCTGGAGCTTCAGCTCTTGCTCCAACTTTCAACTTGGTTCGGGCCTTGTCTGATTGACGCTCGGGGCCCCGCCCGAATATACCAACAAGTTTAGAATCATAAAACGGACTCACTCGAACTCCCGGAACGCCCGAAACAACATTAAAACTAAGAATCACACCCTAAAACCAATCGAATCAAACTTATGAACTTCAAGTTCTTCAATTTACTTCCAATGTGCCGAAACGTACTTATACTACTCGGAATGACACCAAATTTTGCATGCAGGTCTTAAATGACATTACGGAACTATTCTTGATCTCGAAATTCCATTTGGCCCTCGATATCATCAAAACCCACTTCAAACCAAATTTAAAGAACTTTCAAAACCTTCAAGAACCAACTTTCACTATTAGGCGCTAAAACGCTCCCGGGTCATCCAAAACCCGATCCGAACATACGCCCAAGTCTGAAATCACCATACAAACCTATTGGAACCGCCAAACCCCGATTCCGAGGTCGTTTACTCAAAATGTTGACCGAAGTCAAACTTGGACTTTAAGCCAACCTTAAGGAACCAAGTGTTCCGAATTCAACCCAAACTCTTCTAAATCCCGAACTAACCATCCCCGCAAGTCATAAATCAGTAAGTACGGAAAGTCTTATTTAGGGGAACGAGGTTCTAGAAAGCAAAACAACCGGTCGGGTCGTTACATTCAAGAGGGATATCAAGATCGACAACAAGATTTCTGGTTAAGGCAGAGCAACCAAAGCATTAGGAGGAAACATACACAAAAAACTATTGTCCTCAAAGAAGTGTTGGTTAAGATACCATCACATTAAATACTTTTAAACTATACTACATAATTATCTAACTAACGTGACAAAATTGATCATTTGTGTAAGTTTTGATGATGTCTTTTTATTTTAAATTCATGTATTATGCTAATGTAATAATATTTTTCGGCATTTAAATGATTGTTGTGTTATTATACATAAAATTTCTCTCATTAAATAAAATTTTATTGTTCCTTCGTATAAATAAATGTTTAAATGATTATGTACCATTATTAACGTGCAATGCACGTTTATTGATACTAGTATAATTAATGCATGTAAAAAGCCAGTGGTGACTTGGATCAGAAAATTCCCCTCTGGAAAATACTTGTATGTAAAAGCTAATGTCTTAAGGGTTTGACACCCGTTAGAGCTTTTGACTTTCTCCCATTTTATTTCATTTCCAGAGTCAACTCATAGTGATAAGATTACATATAATAATATTCATACAATAGACCTTATGCATGCATAAAACTTGATTTTATGCGTGCATAAAACTTAATTTTACAGGGTTCCAGTTAGAGGTCCTAAATTGTGTGCAACATATAAATATCGTTTCACTAAATCTATAGTGAAGATTTTCCTCATAAATCAAAAGAGTGAAGAAATTACGATGAGTCTCCAACTGATAGGAAATCTATAAAACGCACTGGAGCCCTGCTTTGTAGGGAATAATTATTATCCCCAGCTTCCTGTTCCACTTCCTCAGCATCCCTTCTTGTAATATTATCCTCTACCACTTCACTTTTATTTGAGCCTATATTCACTCGTAGAAAGTCATAACATTCCACTGCTTCATTCTTGCCTGCAATTCCCACACCAAATAGTTAGCATTAACGAGCATAAAAGCTTTCGTCATATTAAAGATAATTAAGTAAACAAAAGTGTGCTCTCTTTCTAACATATTAAGCTTTTCTAAGATATGGTCACACTAGTGGCTGATGTAGTATATAGTCGGCAGGTTCAACTGAACCTAATATTTTCTACACGAATAAAGATATGTATGTGAAAAATAAGTAACTAAAATCACAATTTTGACATTTCAAAGTGTAATGGTTCAATATAAGAACTTAGAGGTTAAATCAATAAAATTTAAATCATGGATTTGCCTCTGTAATCACACATGATAACACGTCGCATGACAATACTGGAAAAGTATCAAAAATAAAAGAAAAATATCGAGAGAAAAACTCGAGGAAACCATGAATGTATACCTTGATCATCCATCTTCAAATGATGAGCTGGAAGGTGATTGAAACGAAGCTCTTTTGGATAAAGGGAATTATTATTAGTGAAAGGATAATAATTAAATCTTTCTAATAATTGCTGATGATGATCAATAGAAATATTGGAACTTCTTTTTCTCATGATATCGTGGATATTATTATTATCCTGTAGATCACTCGGCGAAGTCGTACTCATGTCTTGTTGGCTTGTTGATTTAGGGATAGCAGCAATATTCCTCATAGAATAAATCTTAGATCTTTCTCTGCATCTTCTTGACATAATAACGTGCCAATGATTTTTCACAGCATTATCAGTACGACCTGGAAAAAGCCTAGCAATTATAGCCCATCTATTCCCATGAATTCTGTGAGAGGCAAGTAGTCTTTCTTCTTCCTCTTCTGTAAATGGGCTTCTGTTAATTCTTGGATCCAACTGATTGTACCATCTCAACCTACAACTCTTCCCTGAACAAAATAAGGATAATATCAATAGAGAGTTTAATACTATGGTGTAAAAGAATTTGCTGTTTGCATACTATCAGACCAGTTAAATGATATCCGTCCATAATAAGTGATTAATAACCTAGAAAATAAGATGTGTTACATGTGCTACAAAATACTAAAATATATTTGTATATTAAAAAGTATTCACTACATTGTATTCCCTCCGTTCCAATTTATGTGAACCTGTTTGACTGGGCACGGAGTTTAAAAAAAATGAAAACTTATGAAATTTGTGGTCCTAAACAAGTCAAAAAGGGGCCCCGAGTATTTCTGTGGTTATAAAAGCTTCTCATTAAGGGTAGAATTGTAAGTTTAAGCTAAATTTTTACCAAATTTAGAAAGGGATCATTCTTTTTGGAACGGACCAAAAAGCAAATAGGTTCACATAAACTTAAACAGAGGGAGTATGTATAAAAGCTTAATCCCTTAATAGGAATAACCTTCATATGATAGTATGTACGTACGCTAACCAGTTGCACCTCATGATTATTTATTTACCCTTTAAATTAACTTACTTTTTTTCGTTTTTCCTTGATATTTCTTTAATAGGACTACCAAATTAGAAAGGGAAGACAAATGAACTTGAATTAATGAGGCCAATATATAGAACTAATACCGTAATTAACTAAGCAAGCATAAATCATACAGAAGACCTTAAGGTAGAGAAAGTAAGTTAATTTAAGGGGTACAATGATAAAGATGAATGTAAGTCTTATTTTCTTGGAGATCAGACGTGCATGGTTTACTTTAAATTATATTTTTCCAATCATTTGCTACCATATGAAGCTACTTCAATATAGCATGGCGAAGAATATACTATGTATATACTCCATATACTTCCTTCCTCCGCTCCTTCCTTTTCTACTTATTAGGCGGTGCATCTCCCGGTCTTATCACCAAAAATCTTTGCCGATTGATGGAACATTCCGTTACTGACAGACTTGTACAGAGTAGTAGTTGTGGATACTGATGCACGAACATACGCAATAAAAAGGAAAATAAAAAAACTAAGAATATATACTACTTACTACTATTAATTGTAGATGTTTAGTACCTGATCTGCCTTGCAAGTTTTCAGCAATAGCATTCCAATTATGAGGTCCATATTTAGCGACTAACTCCCGGAGTTTCTCATCTTCATGAGGTCTCCAATGCCCTCTGCTACACATGATCGATCTCGCCAGCACAAAATCTAATTAATTAAGAAACAAATCTCTAAACCAATAGAGTACTACTGTTCAGAAACCCTACACAGTACGTACGTTTCTTATGGTGCAGCTAATTAGAGAAACACACCAGAATAAAACAGTACTACATATATCAAATGAGTAAATTTTAACCTAGAGAAGAAACCAGATGAATACACAATATAATCTGATAATATATAATAGAAGAAGATGAGGATTTGAGAAGCGGTTTCCGTTAGGAAGTGAAAGAGGTTTGGAGTAGTAATTTGGAGAGAATTGGTATACCTGCGATTGATGCCAACGTTTAGTCTAACAAACAAAAACATGAAAGCTTTAGCACTTTTGCATCAACTCAGTAGATATATCAAAGAGAGAGAGAGAGAGAGAGAGAGAAGGATATATGGTTGCGTAGGTGGGTGAGTTTTGTTCTGCTTTCAACGTCTTTTGCAGTTTTTCTAACCTACATGACGCCTGCTCATAACCCACCCTACGGTAATTAATCCACCTTTTAATTCCCCTCCTCTTACTACAAACATAACTCTCATAAAACAATATAATAATATCCATCAGTCCCATATATAATCACAAGTCGTCTATCATGTTTGGATTTATCCCTAACTAATTAAATGATACTTAAGGATTGACAAGTCATGCTTGCTCAGTTGATAAAGTACTACCACCCACGACTGTTAGGTCCTGAGTTCGAGCCATGCAATAGGAGAAGTGTGTGGAAACACTATAGATCCTCTCCTAATATTGGAGGGAATTTACAAAAAAAAGAACTTAAAGGTTATGTCGATCTATTCCAAATAACTAGTTTAACATACATATATCGACGGGTAAAATAATATTATATATTATCGTATTACTATTACCAATAATAGGTCCTTGCCTTATCTACAAAATTAAAATTTTCACTTTATTGAAGAATTATGTGTAGATATCCTTTGGTTGACTTTTAGTGATTTTGTACTATCGGTAAATAAGTTTTTAAGCTATTTAAAAGCCAAATATAAGTAATTATTGTGTATGTAATTAGTGTGAATTAATCAGTAACCTGGAAACTATATAAATGACCAGAAACAATTATGTCTTGATTGAATTTTTCGTCCATATAAGTTTCAGTATCGTTATTGAAAATATTAGTGGTACTATTTATTAACCATGGTTCAGAAATTTAAAGAAAACATATAAATTAATGTTACATACACACATGCCAAAAAAAAAAAAAAACTAGTCAATTGCTGATATGTGCATTTACCCTGTTAGTCATGGGTCATCAACAACAATGATGCTGCTAATTGACTAAACAAAGATTAATGCTGCCTTTTCTCGTTAATAAAGTTCCACTCTCACATATCTAATTAATTCATCGACAAAATAGATCCTATTCCAGCAGCATTAGGGCAGTTATCATATTTTAATCTCTTAAAAATATCAAAAGTTCAATATTAATATAAACTAATTATAAGAGACATATCGTTTTTAAAATATATATATAAAAAAACTAAAAGAGAGACATGTATAGGGCTTACGTCGTATCAGAAATTAATTGGTAAACTGAAAGGCATCTTGCTAAAATTTCAGAATAACGAAAACTTTTTGTTGACTTGTCATATCTACATAAGAGTCCTTTCATATTGTTGGCCTAACGTTGCTATTATAATATTTTATTTAAGAAAAATTAACTTGTTAGGAAAGGAAGTCTACATAAGAATCCTTCTTAATTCATCTCTCAACCTACATCTGTAAGGAAAACTCAGCTTCTATATATGTCATATCCACTTAATTAGTCCTTCTCATTCCTACCCAACAAAAAGTTTTATAACAGATCTTCACGGAATTCAACATTATTATGTTAAGCCAAAGGTTTAGATAAAAGTTTATGATTTTTATCGAATTGGCTATAATTAAGCTTGAGACACCCTACCAATTATCAAGGATTGTGGTAGGATGGATAAGACCCCTCTACTCTTAACATCTCAGGTTCGAACCATAAGGTTGAAATATTCTTGTTAAGGAGCGCTTTCTCCATGAATGGGCAATACGCAGTACGAATTTGGATTTTTCGGGCCCAATATTAAATACCGAACACCAAGTGGAAAACTAAAAACAATTAGAAACACAGTATAACTCGGTAAACGGTAATCAGGCGCATGCTAATAAAACCGAGTGATTACTAGTTAACTGCGACAGGCTTTCGCAAATGATATCTGCAGCATGATAATTAATGATCAACATCAATAAGTGGCAAAGTTAGAAATTCTCTAAGGGGGTTCAGATTTAAAAGAAGTAAAAAAAGTTTCCGACAAATGATGTTCAATATATATTTTATACACCTAAAACTAATATTTTACTTATATACCCAGTATAATTTTTTGTAATATTCCGATGAAGGAATTGACCACCCTTAACAAAAGGTGGTTTCGTCCTTGAGTAAATGCAGTGGCGGAGCTACATTCAACCAAGGGGTGTCGTGACACCCCTTTGCTAGAAAATTACAGTGTATTACTAGATAAGTTTTTCTGTTTTATGTATATTTACTATACGTTGACTCCCCTAGACTTTTTGATGTATCTATTTTTTTTTATATTTTGCCAGTCCTTGGTGAAAATTCTGGCTCCACCGCCACTGAGTACATGGGAGGATCTACGTCTAAGGTTCATGCCTGAATTATGTGCTTCTGTGTAATAATACAATGTACTTGTCCGTTTACGTGAAAGGAAATATTGTATCTTTGTTCGTAAAAGAGAGAGATAACTAACGAGAGAAGATAATATCTCAGATGATGATCATCAAAATTTTTTAAGTATAAAGCTGGGGGGAAAAAAAAAAGATCAACTAATTTAAGTGAGTAGTCGCAACCTTTATCCCATGGACCAGGCCTTTTCAGTCATTTTCCTATAACATTATGGATGATTAAAGTGAAATATATTTCAGGTGAAACGACGCGACAATTTTCGGTATTTCCAGTGGAGCCAAAATTTAAAGTTTATAAGTTTTAAACTTGTCACTAAACTCGCAACACGCCTCAACTAAACATACCAACCAGTCCTAAAACATCATACGGACTCATTCCAACTCTCAAATCACATCAAACAACGCTAAATCCACGAATCACCCTCCAATCTAAGCCTAATGAACTAGAAATCTCAAGAATCCTACACCTGATGATAAAACCAACCAAACCAAGTCCGATTGACCCCAAATTTGCATACAAGCCACATTCAACACTACAGAGCTATTCCAACTCTCGGAATCGGATTCCGACCCCGATATCAAAATTTCACTATCGATCTAGAAACTTCAAAAATTCAACTTTCGACATTTCAAGCCTAAATAAGCTACAGACCTCCAAAACACAATCCGAACACGTCCCTAAGACCGAAATCACTCAACGGAGCTAACGAAATCGATAAAATTCCATTTCGAGGCCGTCTTCACACTGCTCCGACTACGGTGCAAGTTCTAAAACTTAAGTTATTAGGGTCATAATTAAATATTTAACATATTTAATAAATTTTCTAATACAAATACTAAGCAAAAGCTACTGAATTCGTCCAAACTATAATATCTACCTTTTTTTTTTTTAAATAAACCAATCACCCAGGATTTCATCCCCTGTGGTGTTGGGGGGTTTGGCTGGACCCCTACCATGTCTATTATATAAACAAAAAAGGTTACATTGAGGGGGACATAAACCTTACCTCGGAGCTACCTTTCTACCTAAGGAGAGGAAGAGTCTATGGGCAAAAATACATATTAGACCATTTCCTCTCACTATAAATAGAGTTAACTTACAAAAAAATTGAATTTTTCATATCTAATTCTAAAAGAAGGAACCTGCCACATATCCATGAAGAAAGGGCCCTTGGCCGCTTTTGGTACTTGTCTAAAATCCATATGAGTGATACCTTCGTTAGCTCTGGTGGCCTCTTTGGCGAACCAATCTGCCACTTGATTTGCTTCGCGAAGGCAATGGGTAACAGGTGCCCTGCAGGTGTCCAGAATCTCCATTAATTTCTCAGCCTCTTGTTTCAGCTTGTTGTTGCTTAGATTTTTGGCCTGTAGTATGTCATAGATCATCCTCGAGTCAGTTTCCACAATGAAGTTCAATATTCCTTTGTTTTTGCACCATTCACACCCATACTTGATGGCTTTCAATTCTGTTTCACTGATGCTATTAACAGATGATAGGCATCGAAAAGGCCATGACAAAGCCTCCTGCCCTGCTTAGAAAGAGATATAGGTCATTAATTTACAGAAACTAGTTCGCATAGATATGCTTTGCACATGAGCTATGAAAAATGAGGAAATAAAAATCTTATTACTTTTAGGAAAAAAACTAAATGAAAAGTATATTAAGTTATTACACACGTGATAAAAAATATGACAATTGATATCCTTTCTTTTCCTTCATGAAATTATGTTTCCTTTAATTTTCCAAAATTTTTGTTATTTGAGAAATCCATATAGATTTATTTTTTAATTGTTATGGTGTAATATGGAGTATAGCGTGTGTGTGTGTGTTCACCTAATTAATATGTTAGCTTGTCTGTCTATCAGATCGTTGTCTACACATTCTTCACCTGAATTAAGTTTTTGGGTTTGAAGCTATTTAAGCTTCTCAACTGCAAATTGCTAACTGAAAACTAACAGCTTAACCATTTACAAGTTTAAGATTAATATTCTTTTGCCCCCTTAGCTTGACACTAAATTAGGTGTACACCTACCTGACCTAATTATCTATTCTCATTAGGAAAAACTCTTCTCTTGAAGTCAAAACAATACTAATTTGTTATTTAATCATCTTCATCAATCCCAGGATCAGATTTTCTGTTATATATCTGATTTCTTCATGAGAACAATTTAACACTTATATGAAAAATTAAACATGGTTGTAGGCCAGTTCTGGTCTTTCGACAGAAATAGCACTCACTAGTCATTTTTAACCACAAAATTAAAAAATAGCCACTGTCATAAATAAATTTGAAATTTCACAAGTGAAACCCTGTGACTAGTGGTGACAAAATGGTTAAAAGAAAACAGTTATCCACCATATTATCCATTAAAAAATGGATTGCATTATTAAACTTTTAAAAAACGGGTCAAATATGGATAAGAACCATATTATACATTTAGAAAATGGATAATTAATGGGTTTAACTTTTTACATTTATAAAGCCTCAAATTAGGGGGTTCCTCAACTTTAGGAGACTAGAAATTCTCCTAAAAGTAATCATATTCAAGAAGCCATGGATAATTCCATATTATCTACTGATTAACCCGTTTTTTATCCATATTAAATATGGGTCAGGTCGAATAATTTATCTGTTTTTGCATTATCCGTTTTTAACCCGTTCATATCCGACCCATCCCGCCCGTTTGTCACGCATACCCATGACAATGACTTTTTTCAATTACATGAGTTAAAAAGTGGTTGTTTTGAGAGTTTTACCTGGTCTTTCTGAGTGTAAATTAATTAGTTTTGAGCTTATTGTTGTTAATTAGGTAGAAGGATGTTAGGAGTAGTTCCGCCATGCATCGATACATTCCATTTATGTGGAACGTTGTACTAACCTTGATGGAACAAAACACATGTGAGCTTAGTATGAAAAAGTAAGTACAAAGAATGTTGTATAGTACTCCTTCCCGTACGTGAGACAAAATATAGTACAAGGTATTACATCATTTATAATTAGGAATTTGTTTTTGACAATCAAGTTGCTTAAAAAGTGAATTACAAGTAAGTGTACGTTTCAAGTAAAAATTTGGGAAATAGAGTGGAAACCTACTCGAGGCTGGAGTTACTTTGTGTAAATATTCTTTATATTACCAGTTAAAACAAAAACAAAAAAAATTACTAGACATCTGGAACAATATTTGGTTGAAGTTGAAAAAATATATATTTGAAGTTGAAGTTGTGTCTAAAAACGAGTAATTTGCAGATACTACGAAAATATTATTTAAGGACAAAACACGACGCTTCTACCTATTTGGATATACCTAATAAACCAATATTTCAACAATTCAGAAAGTGTTATGGTTGAAATTTAGTACATTTGAAATTAGAAGGAACACAGAAAGGACGAGCTTAGTCAAACAAAGAAAAGCTCGACTTCAAGAGTAAATGGCAGAATATGTTCAGCCATAATAAGATTTATGGTACCTCGGAATGAATTCTAATCTAAACAGCGACATTAAGATGCTGAAATTAGGAGCTTCTTTTTGAATATTATAGCAAATGGAAGTAGTCATTTTTATCATCCTCATATAGACAACTGCACCAACTACCTTCTCTTTCGGCTTAATTAAGTGTGAATTAGTGCAAAAATCCAATTAGTCCACATTGATAACAACATTTTGTTGTGTCCAAATTTAACTGATGGAGCGCATTTTATCCTAATAAGAATCGACCCCAAGAGATGTGGAGAAAGTCATCCTGACTACTGAAGAGATACTAAGAAAATAGGCAACGAGAAGAAAATTGTGCCATCTTGCACAAATATGTTGGGATTTGATGTTGTCCAGTTCCATATGCCACAATATATTTCATTCAATCCACAAACAAAAAGGTACAGTACATTCCACAACCTAACACGACGAGAAAAGAAAAAGGATGAAAGGACAAAAATTATAACCATTTCCACCCCCACCCCCACCCCCACCCCCACCAAAATTAAGTTTGAATTTCTGATATCTGTGCAGTTGAGCAAGAAAATTCACTTATTGAAGAATGAGGAAACAAATAAACTTTTATTGCTCAATCATGATGAAATACACATTTTTCACCTCATTTTTATTTGAGTTTTTAAGTAATATACAGTGTAAAGTTTTTTTTACCCAAAAGATATCTACATGTAAGCTTCCTTAAAAAATATCTACACTGAGTGTACACTAATATGATTTGGTAGAAACCTATAAACTGTTCCCTTTTCAATATAAAAATCGCCTCCACTAATCTGTTTCCGCAAATTTGCACTTCATATGGAGATATCCTCTGCCTTTTAACTTGGTAGGTTAGAAGAAGAATAGATTAAAATAACTTCAACTAAAATGTTCATCCAAAGAAGATTATTTGTCACTTTGATAACCAACTGATAGTAAATTGGCTTACATGAGCTACAACCTGTAAGAATGAGTATCCTATGGGCTTAACAGACAATAAATTAGTATACAGAAATCCCTCATATAGACACAAAAAGATAATGAAAGATCCAAAAGACAATTGAGGCTAATTTAGCCACCAAACAGTTAATCACTAAGCTAAAGTGCCAGCTTGAAGTTGATGCTTACAATGCTGATAGTTCTACTTCCTGATTGCACGGCCGATATGCCACAAATGTGCCATCATTTGAGAAGGAACCAGGATTAAAGCATGTAACTCCTGTGTACCTGAAAGCCTTCTGCTCACTTTTGTCCGCCAACACGATCTGTTAGGAAATATCAAATCATTTTTTATCAGTTACAATTAGTTCAGGTTATCCTGTTCAGTTTCAGGTCATAATGGAGTGAAGTTCTCAACTTCAGACAACCTATTAAACTATTTAACCATGTGTGGATCATTGTGAAACAAGATCATAACCTCAGTCATGATTCTGCAATCAGATATGTTCTAGTATTATACTTTAGGCCCCAATAGAAGGAAGCAGTCGGCTTTTCAGCAATTAGGAAAACCTACCAATTCTTGATACTTCAATTGCTAGTGCTATGTAATTTCTCAAGTTCAGGGTAGATATTAGTGATTTAGCATCACAGCTTAAATAGGAATATATATGTGCACATCATAAAAACATTGTCTGATGAAGGAAAATAAATTTTGAAGACTCTGCGTTTTCTACAGATTCTATATACACAAGAAAGAGGAAAGTACCGTATGCGGGGTTGGATAAAGGTGTAGACTGTGATCATAATTCCAGATAATGGGTTGACCTGTCAAAGGAAGGGGGCAGAGATGGCTCTGATGTATTATCGTCGCAACAAGCTGCAAGAAAATAAAATGAACACCCTGAATTTCAATTATCTGTGATGCCAAAAGAAATCCTATATTAAGAATATGAAGACTGATCTTACATGCTCAAATGGATCACTGGTTTCTTCTGTTGAGGGAGGTATCAGACATGACCTTCGCATTCTATAAAGCAAATCTTGGCGAAATAGTACAATTTCTTGGGTATAAAACTTGATTCTGTTTCAACAAGAAAAGTTAGAAATGCATCACTTCATCAATAATATGATAGTCACATTTCAGCAGAAGATGCCATCTTTTGTGGCACCAAAGCACCCAGAATGCACACAACATTAGCATGACAGATTGTATGACTTCTTGAAGATTTTGATTATGCTCATTTCGATTGGGCAAATGAGGGAAGATCTTGTTAACAGAATTGAGAAAAGGCTAAAAGTTTAAACTCTTGCTGTTTAATCAAAAACTCAGTTAGCACCAAACAAAGGATACCTGCATGGGTTACTGGAGAATATTGCATTGGGAACATATTTCTGAAGTTCTTCAGTTAGGTATTTAGGCAAAGGACATCTGGGTAAAACTGTTGAAGGACCTGGAGACACGAGAAAAAATTCGCATTATTTTATTAAGTTGGTAAAGAAGCTTAAATGACAAATGGTGATGATTTATCAACACACCTACATCATCTGGACCAGGGATAAACAGAAATCGACTATGCTCTTTTAGTCGTTGGTGCGAGGCAATCATTTGCCCAAGCTTTCCAAACTGAACCCTGTAAATATTATGTTTATTTGTCACTTCCTTTACCAACAAATAACCATAGCAGTAATACAGCTAAATTTTAAGTTTACACTTGCCTGAGACTTGAGATCGACTTGAAGGAAAGATTAAATGGCTGAGAGCAGAAATTTCCCATGAGGATAAATAAAGAAGGAACCACCTCTACATTTTCATAACCATTGAGGATAGTCTCCAGATTTCCCAAAGTCTTCTCTAAGGATAGGCGAGAATCGTGGATCAGGCAACCATAAGCAGTTCAAACGTATTAAAACAAGAAAGAGAGGGTTACAAGAGCAAAAAAGAAGCATATATACCTCCTCATTGTCCAGCCAAATATCAGATAGTATAACAAACATGTCATTCACAGCTTTTTTCTCCAGCTCTGCAAGTCTAAGCTGTTGCAGAAGTTAGGGAAGCTTCATATCCACTTTTAGCTAAAATGAATAGATTTGCTACGGTATTTTCATTTTTTCTATTATTGAACCAAGTCAAAGGATACAGTTTCCTCTTTGGTAAGAATACCACCACCAAAGAAGTCTAGTCCTGAAAAAAATGCCATGGACTTTTCTCTGTCCTCTAATGGAGGAAATCCACATGTCCTGACCTGCACGGTACTTTTAGAAAATTAGCTACTGTATAATTAAACCACTTCATATTAACATATCCAAAACTCAGCCCAAAATTTTGACACTGAATCTTATGCGTGGCTTATATCACTTTTGGTACAATAATTGCCTAAAGTTGCTAATTTGTGAATAGTTACATTAGGAAAAAAAAATATTAAAACATGTCAGCTTAGGCAAGCTTTATCGATCATATTCTTCACTTGTAGGAATAGGAATATAAATTGGTTCTAAATGAGCTGATCTCACTTCCCATGCAGTTAGTTCATCAGATGATGATAAGAAGCTAAACGAGCAGAATAATGAAACTCCCTCAGAGCCTATGCACCACAAAGTATGAAAATTGAGGTTGCTACTGAATATTTATCGGCATCTTCTCGAAGTACTTATCTAGTTTCAAACTTGTATTTCAAAGAAGAGATTCGGTACAAGAATGGACCTGAAAAACACCATCCAACTGCATTTCACCTTCTGCCAGGACTATTGTATTTTCCGCAAAGAAACCTGTAGTTATCTTGTACTGCAGGTTATGGATACACAGCATGTTATTGCAAATACTGCAACTCTAAGACACAGCTTTTAAGCATTGTTATCTACAAATAGGGAATGGACTCATTGAGCTTTCCTTCTATTATAAGATGGACCACATGTAAGGCATAATCATACATAACTGAGAAGTGAAATTATAAAACATTAAGACAAATTACAGGAGCAATTTCTAAAAGCAAAATTGCAACCAAGGGTTTTAGGAAAGAAGCATATCTGGCATAAACAAATGGATTAATTTCTAAGATCACTAAAGAGCTAAAAGAAATAAACAATCATGGTAGCGATTCAACATCAGAAGAGAAAAACTAATGAAGGCTAACTATTCAGATTCAAGTATATTAGCCTTCTACTTCATAACAGTAGCACAGTTCTTGTATCAACTATTATGAGCAGTGAAATGAGATAAAAACGTTTGAAAAGGATATTGCACTCGATAAATTAACTTCGACAGCTGCAGTAAGGTCTTCCAAGTAGAAATGACCATCCTCCAACTGAGATATTACACCCATTATCCATCTTCTCCCTACCCGCCCAACAAGAGATTGAATGGGAGATATCTGCAAACAAACATTTTCCTACTGTGAGCATCATTTTGCAGAGAAACTTGAGAACCACAGCTCTGCAGTCCATCTAGAGAGACGTGAATCTAAACTAGGATCACGATTGCTACTCACCTCACAGCTGCCATACTCTGAAGTAGGGGCATCAAAAGCAAGGGTTGAAAACCGTGGATCACGAGATAACCTCTGGAATAATAAGAGGAATCTATCCTTGTATAAGGTGGCTTTTGCAGAGGCATCACCGTGAATAGGAAGCCTCCCTGTGTGCCTACACATAGAAAAGGAATTCTGGTTTTAACTTGAAAATATAAGGCACAGGAGCTCTAACTATACACATCTTACAGAAAGCTACGTAAAACATGCAACTTGAAAGAAAACAGTGCTACATACTTTTGTATCCAGTTATTTTAGGACTGAAAATCCTGTTTTTGACCAAGATTTGAACTAATTACTATAATAATTATTAATCAAAATAAAAATCTAATATAAGGTTTTGGTTTCCTCAACTTGTATACCAATTCAAAACGAGAACTAACTTTTCAGTGCATCGATTCCTAAAAAAAAGTCAACTTAAACAAGTGGAAAAGGTGTCTTAAACTCTAATTAGTTTCCAATGAAACAGCTCCAATTATAATTACATTCTAATGGAACAATTAAAGTTTTTTAATGTCAGACAGTAAACATTTTCTAGTTTATGTCTACTTCAATAATATTGGAGTAACAAAAAATCTCCAAGATTTCCCTTATAAAAAAACTCTAAATTTAGTCCTTTTCTTCCAGATTTATAAGGGACTGTTAGAGGTGTTACCTATCTCTAAACTATAAATAATACAATAGAATTCTCAGTTAAAAACCAAATAATCTTTATAGAATAAAGATTACTGCTTACTCCAACAGAGAAAAAAAAATGGATAAAAGAGTAGGGTAGCATACTCGTGAAAGAACTTCTTAACAGGATCGTATCGGAATTTAGGAACAATAAAAGCATCAGTAATACGAAGGGCAGAAGCAGGTGATGAACTGGAGCTAGGGTTCTCCTCAACGGCGGCTTCTGCCTCCAATAAAAGAGTCGCGACTTTATGCACCGGCTCTCTGTCCAGAATCGCTGATTTCACTGCACAAATTGAACAATAATAAGTAGAACAAACAAAAAAGTAAAAAAGGAAAACAAAAGGGGGTAAATTTTAATGTACGGACAAGAGAGATGGTGCAGCTCATCGAGAAGGAGTTCAAGAGCGTCGTCAAGGGCATCGGAAGGAAAATGAGAAAGGAAAGAGAGGACTTCGGAAAGAGCGTCGACTTTGAGGGAGTAACCCCTCATCTTGAACTTCCTCTGTACTTTGTTCCTTACAACTCCGCTCATCTTTTGCAGATTTTGGTTCTCAATTCTCTCTCTGTTTCTGGAACTGTAGATTTTCGTTTGCAATTCTCTCTGTTTTTGGATCTGATATCAGTTGTGGTGTGGGCGGGAGACGGCACTGGCTTTTAGGTATCGCAATTTTGGCGGGAAATCCATCATTGTAAGTACTTTATTTAGTTTCCAGTTTTCTTTTGACGGGTATGGTATGCTCCAACACAAATATGATTTTTATTTCAGAAATTTTATTGGAGGAATAATTGCTTCATAGTATTAAAGACAATATAGTAGTAGTACACTAGTACTATATTAGTAAAGGAAAGAGAGGAGTAGATTGCATTTTTGGAATATTTTTTTTTAACTAGACTTATAAGGAAGAGTTTAAGTTTATATCCTGATAGGGTAAAAGTTTTTTACACAATTACATTATTTATAGTAATTGATAACTAGTGAAATTATTAATTTGAAAGATAGAATAAGTTATCATTATAAATTAAATTGCACTATGTTTACCCTAAAATCTGAGTAACAATTAAATTTATATTGTGATTTTAAAGATACGTGATTTAGTCCAATACTAATTGATAAACAAGGAATTAAATGTCTAAATTTGAAGAAATAAAGCAAGTCAAACCAGTGTGCAAACCAAGACTTGGCCTCGAGTGATGGAGGGGTTCCTAAGTGTTTACACTTACCCCTTCACGCTGGGTCCCATTGATCCAATCATGATCGACTTCTGCAAGAGGTATCAGGTCACCCTCAGCCAGATCCACCCTTCTTTCTAGCGCATAGTGATCATGCTTCGCTATTTCTCCAACAAGGCTGAGGGACTAGAGTTCACCCTCAGTCATCTTATCCGAATGTATCGGCCTCAACTTTTTCCGAGGGTTGATCAAGCTCCAACGACGGTCGACCAAGGCCTTCTTTGCTAGCAACGACGAGGATAAGGATCGGGGCTAGATGAGCCGGTTCGTGCGAGTGAGGACCTGCGACATCATCCCCGAGGAGAAAATTTCGTTCCCAAAGAAGTGGAACCCCGACCATAAGTGAAGTTATTTTTTTAGTAGCCTTTTGTATTCCGTTTTTGCATTGCGTCATGCCTTCATCTTTTTTGCAACGGTCGCTCGGATGCCACATGCGGTCGCCGACCTCGAAGACTGGGTCCGAAAACTAGATGCGACCTCCTCGTATGACGAGCGCCGTTGACGTGACTTGGTGAGGGGCAGATGCGAAGCCAAACACCACGGTAAGTTCTTCTTGTAAGTTTTTTATGCTTTCCCCTTTATCGGAGTTGTTTCTTTATTCATACCTAATTTTCATTCATGCAGGCATTAGAGATGTCTCTGAAATGAGGCCAGCCCCGCCTGGGGAAGAGACCGAGTCCCCGATTCCGAAATCGGGGAAAGATAATAAGATGAAAAGGGTTTCGAAGCCCGAAGACCCCCAAGATAAAAGGGGTCCTACTCGAAGACGCAGGAGGAATCTCATTCCTGTGGATATAGACTCAGTCCACCAGCTGAATGATGAAGAAGAAGACGAGGGTGAAGACTTAGCACTGGTGACCCGAGCCAGGAAGCCAGTTGAAGCTGCCAAGCCCTCTGAACCGGAGACCTTGCCTCGTGGTGAGGAAGCTCCGAAGAAAGACGCGGGCAAAGCCCCCGAATCGCCCGAGGTCGAGATTGTTCCTCGGCCATCAATAAGCACACCGAAGGGGACAGGTTCCAAAACCCCCAGGGCTGAACAGAGCACCTCGAGCGATTTGCTCAGGGCCATGACAATAGGTCACTCTCCCCCTCTACCGGCTTATTCTGAGGAGGCCATAAGGGAGGCTTGGGCTCTGCAAACGCCTGACTTAAGCGGAGTCCCCGGTGAAAAAGATCCTTTCCGGGATTGCTTACCGGGGTCGATGATGCCGCCAATCTCAACGATGCATCTACCCTCTTCGAAGAGGCTCAACGCATTTTCTCTCAAGTAAGCATTAATTCCTATCGTTGCAATTTTCTTTTTCTTCTTCTCCCCTTACCCTAACTGATATCCTTTTTTTTGTGTAGGCTTTCACCAGGTTTAGGGCTGACCTGAGCCACTGCGAGGCCGAGCTCCAGAAGACCTCGGATGAAAGGAATGCCCTAAAGCTCCTTTGTAGTCAAAAGGGAGGAGCTCAAGGACCTTGGGGCAGACTTGGCCAAGGCTCGTAAAGATGAGGCCGAGCTAGACAAGCGGGTAACTATCATTTTGAAAGAGTATGGTCTACTCTATCCAACTGTGGAGTCTAATACTACAGTATCTCAGCTTCAACAAAAACTGGATAGGATCGAGCTGCTTCGAGGGGAGGTCGATCAGTTCAAGGCTGACTACAACCGGTGGAAGGAGAATATGGACCGCCTTGCTGTGGAGAAGGAGGCTACTTTAGTCAAACTAGCATCGGTTGAGGCCCAACTCCGGGGCGGTAAAGAGAAAAGTTTGGCCCAGGCCAAAAGGACCGACGAGCTCGAGGTCAAGCTTGCTGAATCCAGGGCTGAGGTCGAGAAGACGAAAGTCACGACTGATAAAACCGTTGCCGTGTACTTAAGGGATGCTGAGGCTGCTCAAACGGAGCTAAGGGAAGCCTCGGACCTAGAGCGACGAAGTAATGATTTGGCCAAGTGCCAATCCCGGTGGGAGACCCTCGAGGAAATCCACGGTCGATGTTTCAACCTCATTGAAGAGATAGCTCAAGCAAAGGCGCTCGAAGCTGATGCCAAATTTCTCGTCTCCTCCTCTTCCGACGATGATGATGAAGGCAGCCAAGGCGGGTCTGACAATGAAGAGGGGCCCGAAGAGGAAGCTGCTCCCGAGGGAGAAACCAGCCCCGGGCATAGCTAGGATTTTTCTTTTTCTTTTTGTAAAACCCCTTGTCGGTCTCTTGTACATATCTTTTTCCAAATATATATAAAGAAAAATTTCCTTGAATGTCTTCTCAATTTTTATGAACATGTTTCTTGTCTTGCAATTTTTTTGCATAGTTTCATGCTTTGAACGGCGTGTTCGAGACTTTGTCTCAGATGGTTTCCTCGAAGTTGCCATGGTCTAGTTCAAATAAGGTTCGAACTTCGGGGCATAGACCCTTAAGGGCTTGTGCCGGATAATGGTGAGTCCCTAAGCCATAATCAATTTATTGTTTTGTTTGGGCTCGGGATAATCGAACCCTTGGGTTCAGATCGGGTGAGAGCAAGGTCTCGAATCCTAAGTTTATTGGCCCTTAGGTTCTTTTAGATCGGGCCATTATGGCCTCTAAAAGATGGCTATTATTTCCCCCTTTTCGGCTTAAAAGATTTAATAAAAGTTTCTTTATGCCTTAGCATGTGTTTTTTACCCATTGGGTTTTTTGAGGGTTCGATGTCGATCGAGGCCCCTGTGCTTTTTGTTTCTTAACACATTTATGTCAAGGTAATTTGATACCTCTTAAGGTTTTTCGAGGGCTGATTTTATCAAAGCCTCTTTTTTTAATCGTTTTGCCGGGGATAGCCTTTTAACCGGTTTGTTCAAAGTATTTTAAGGCCTATTGTTTATTGCGGGATTTGGACATCTCTAAGCCGCGTTATTTCGGTCGTAGCCTTCAATATGGTCGTAGCCTTCGGGTATGCCTATTGGACTTATTCCCGATAACATTTTGAACTTGTTCGAAATATTAGTCCCCAAGTACAATGGCCTTGGCCTATGTGTCGAGGGGTGCCTCTTTGAGGTCTTATGATTTCGAGTTTAGATAACTCGAATGTGTTGACTATCGATGACAGTCCCCGAGTATTCGAGGTGTATTACGTTTGGCCCTTGAGCCATTTCTCACAGAATCACAAGTATTGGAGCTCGTATTGTAGCAAATTTCTTCGAGACACAAAGCTTTGATATAGAAAGAATGCTTTTTTGAATAATTCATACATGCGTACATGTTTTGCCATCGGGACTCAACTATTCTATATGGACACGGTTCATCCGACCGTTTGGCCCATTACAATGTTTTCCTATCGAGGCCCTTTGACATGAAGTATTTTCCTTGAAAATATAACCCCCGAGGGTGATGCCCCCAGTATTTGAGGTTGATTGAAAAGAAGCCTTGGATTTGTTGAATTTTCCTCGGGTAGCACATAATTGTTGCCTCGTTAAAAACCTCACCGAAAAAACGCATTCGGGTTAAAATCGATCTAAGGGAAAAAGAGTGCAACACGTGCTTTAAAACCTAAGACTTTCGTGCTGAAGAGTTTCCTCGATGCCTCGATCGAACACCTGCAATAAGTTAGTACTAAATACAAATGGAAAAGGGAGAGAGTCATACCTCAGCAATAATACCGTTTGAGTAGTTATATGTTCCAATTGTCCGGCAATTGTTCGCCTTCCGTCGTGCCAAGTTTGTAAGATCCTTTTCCGATGAATCCGATGACTCAATATGGTCCTTCCCAATTCGGGCCTAGTTTCCCTTCGTTCGGGTCTCGAGTATTGAGGGTGACTTTCCTTAGAACTAAATCCCTGATTCCAAATTGGCGAAGATTGGCTCTTCTATTGTAATATCTCTCGATTCTTTGCTTCTGTGCACCAATCCGAACAAGCATAGCTTCTCGTTTTTCATCCAATAGTTCGAGGCTAGTATTCATGGTCTCGTGATTTGATTCCTCCGTTGCATGTCGGAATTTGGCGCTAGGTTCCCCGACCTCGACTGGAATTAAGGCCTCGGAGCCATATATTAAGGAGAACGGGGTTGCCCCCGTGCTGGACTTTGATGTTGTTCGGTACGCCCAAAGAACTTCGGGTAGAACTTCTCTCCATTTCCCTTTAGCGTCGTTCAGCCTTTTCTTTAAGTTTTGAATGATAGTCTTGTTCGTTGATTCGGCCTGTCCGTTTCCACATGGGTTATACGGCGTTGATAAGATCCTTTTTATTTTGTGTTCCTCGAGGAACTCCGTTACCTTGCTGTCGATGAATTGCTTTCTGTTGTCACATACGATTTTAGCAGGTATCCCGAATCGACACACGATATGTTCCCAGATGAAGTCTATAACTTCTTTTTCTCTGAATTTCTCGAAGGCCTGTGCTTCCACCCATTTAGAAAAGTAGTCAGTCATAAATAAAATGAATTTAGCTTTACCTGGGGCCGTTGGCAGAGGGCCGACAATATTCATTCCCCATTTCATGAAT